CTTCTGTCCCAGGACGCTTCAGCGATCCTCCAAGGTTTCCACAGGATGTCCAGGGAGTTAGTCAATTCTGAAAATATGTTGTGCGGGTCCTGCCACAGCTGGCGGTAGGTAAGCACAATGGTTTCTTTGGCCACTTGCTCCTTTTCCTTGCAGTACGCCTGTTTCACTTCCTTCCATGCCTCATGCGTCCGGGCTCTGATTTCATCTTCCACTGCCTGCTGTGCTTGTTGCAGGCCAAATTGATGGTCTTTTCTTTCGAAGGCGCACCTAGCCCGCCATGCAAGCATTAGTATGTGAAGGCGCATGTAGGAAAAGAGATTGATTGCGTAGGAGGACCATTGGGCCAGCAGATGCCGGTTTTTGCTGAGCAACAGGAGACCCACGTCCCAGGGGATGTGATTCCCCGTGAGGGAGTGGAATGCTGCGTCCCATCATTGCCATATTTGAGTGACCATAGGGCATGCCAACAGGCAATGCTCCAGTGTTGCCCGGGCCGGCAGTGTTGCTCTTCCACAGTACGAACAGATGGGGGATAGCAGCCCCTTCTGTTCCAGGTTCGTTCTGGACACCAACCAGTCGGGGGTGGGGAGACATCGGTGCACAATCTGCCACTGTAAAGATCTGAGGTTTGTTGGCATGATCTTAGAGTACGTGGCCCATGATAGATTGTGCATGAGCTGGGCAAAACCAGATAAAGACTTGCTTTCGTATTTGAACATTCTGAAGAATTCCTTTGACATGGCTCCTTCTTTATCCCATTTATTTAGGTCCTTCCTTTATTCTTCCTTTTTTTTTTTTTTTTTTTTTTCGGAAAGATTCAAACTTTATTACAAAGCCAGTAGTCGAGGCCGGGGACCTCACAATTCGACCCGGAGTTATCCTGGCAGCCTCAGCCAGTTTTGCTTACGAGCCAAGCTCGAACATCCACTTTCTGCTAGAATACAAACCTTCACTACCCTGCTGGAAACCGGGTCCAGCTTCCCTTACTGACTCAAAAGGACTTTCCAAAAAAGTTAAACGTGAAGCTCCTGAAAAAGTGCCTGCAACTGCAGACCGAAAATTACCAATCCTATGTTCACTGAGCAACCCTGGCCTGTAGGCCTGCAGTCCCTCCACCTGGTGGCATTAAATGCAGTAATCTGAATCTTATGGGCTGATTACTCATCATGATGGTTTCAGCCATCGTGAAATCACTAAATTTCTGTCCAGTGTCACTGCTGCCAACTGATTCCCTCTGGCCCACGTCTTCAAGAACCAGGGATACCCTTTTTTTTTACTTCTGAAGCATTTTTGCCAATCTGCCAGTATCTGTAATCTCATGTTTGAACAAATTCGTGCCTGTTGCTCCTGAACCGCCACGTTGGTGTTCAAAAACACAACTGAATTCCTGGCTCTCCAAATTTCGTTTAAACCACCAGTACTTGGGTGACGCCTTAGTGTTAACGCTATGGGAATTTCGCTACCGGGGGGCCGTCGATAAATCGTATCGACAGCCCGCTCCGCTTCAAAAAAGGTGCGGCCGGTGCGGCGCACAGTGCCCAAGTACTGGTGGTTTTAAGATGATTCCTCTGCAAACCTGTGCGACATATCCCCAACCCTCCCCAAGTGAGGTGTCCTGCCTTGGTGTTAAGCCATAAAGTAACCAATCATCAGTCCAAGGCCACGAACCACCCGTCACCAAATCCCAATGTTTTATCCACCAAATCCAAAGCTCATCTGCTAGAGGGCAGTATCGAGCGTTAGACTCCCACCCCCATTTGCACCGTTTGCAGGTGACAGAAATGTCCATGCCCTTCTGCAAGAGCCAAAGTGCTGAGGCTGTAACCAAAAGAGATAGCAGCCACAGCAGACTTGCCTCCTTCTGGGAGGGCATCAGGCCAAGTTTTTTCCACAGTGACCTCCAGTCTGGTTGAAGCTGTCGACCATTCTTGATCTTCTCAAATCTTTGGCTGGCCAAACTTATTGGGGTCTTTTTAACTGTTTTTTTTTTTTTTTTTTTTTTTTTTTTTTTTTTTTTTTTTTTTAACAATGCGACTAACTCTATTAAAAGAAATAATTGTGGTCGAGGCCGGGGACCTCACAATTCAACCCGGAAGCCACAAGGGAACCATGATGGAAACCGGGTCCAGCGTCCCAACCACTCTTCTCTCAAAAGAGGTGAAAAGGAACTTCTCAAAAAACAGATAACACTTGAAGCTCAGAAAGCCCTTACTCCTGTTTTCGGTCTATACTGAAACAATGCGACTGGCTCCCTTCGGTTGAGATCATCATGAGAGGGCCAGCCTTTTATGTTGGGCTCTATTCTGAAGCTTGTGGCAGGACCTAGAAATCTTATATTTTTGCCATCTTTACTTGACAGCCGGAGTGCCCGATACAAAGGGAGTCGTTCGACACTCCTCGCGGAAAAGTTTAGGGTTTTTGTTGTCTTCGTTCCACTCATCCTCGGAGCATCTGTTTTAGGACTCATCCTTGGAGCAATGTCAGAAAAATAAAAGGAAAAAAAAAAGAAAAAAAGTTGTGTTTCAGGCTTGCAGCCAATAGGGTGCCGCCACGATCAGAATTCTCGGTTGTAACGTCTCTCTACGCGCATGCCCTCTCCTCTCCGTGAAACACAGATCCTCGGGCTCCAAGGGACCTCGCGCCGAGGACGATTTGGCTGGGAAATCCTCGGAGCCCAAGGATTTGTCCTCGGAGTGTTTTCACATTTCCGTTCCGAATATCAGCTCCGAGGACAGGTGGAACGACGACGGAATCCTCGGAATCGCGTCCCCGAGGAGTGTCGAACGACGCCCAAAGGAGCGGCCGGAAGCCAGAGTGCTGCCTTCCTGCTGCCTGTAGTCCTCCCTCATGTGTTTGTAGCTCTGCTCTCTGATGTTCAGTAGTTCGGTATAAAGATTTGAGCATTTTGGTTGTCGCCTTGTAGTCTCTGTTCTAGATCATTTATTGTATTCATTTTCTCTTTCCTTTCTTTTTATGGCCAGCTGTCTGGAAAAGATTGAGGCTTAGTTCCCCAAGAAGGTCAATCCACAATTGAACCAATCAATAAATTAAAGGGGGTAACTACGGCGCAGTCACGAAAGCAGTTTGTAATTGCATTTGAAACTGCAATTTAGCAGTTTAGTCAGGGCCCGAGTTTCAATTGCAGTTGAAACTCGGGCTGCGCAGTTCAGTCAGGGCCCTCGTCTATCCACGAACAGCAGATT